TTGTATAAGATGGGGAGATGATGGGGACACCGAATAACCGTGGGGGAATTGTCCCCCTGTCCCCACCAACGCTTCCGAGGCCACTGTGTAAAATGGGAGTCAGGCTAAATATCTGTACATTTATCAGTGACCGCGGAAACCGTGGGGACATTAACATTGTAGGATGAGGGGTAGGGAGGGGTTTATATAAGATGGGGAACATCGAATAACCCAGGGGACATTGTCCCTCCGTCCTTCCGCGGCCACTGATACCCTTCTTCTTCTTCTACATCACTGTCTGTCAGTCGGGTTTCATTTTTCCGAGCCTGAGGACAATAACAATTCTGTCAGTAAAAGTCAACCATTGCCATTAGGCGAGCCATAAGACCCTGATGATCCAGCCAATTAGAAATTATATCAGATTTATCCTAGATGAGAAGGAACAGAGAGCACAATGGAATTCTGTGCTTCTGACTGACTGACTGTTCTCTGAGGATGACTACCTTCAAGACAACCGTAACTAAATGAAAACAAACTCTGGTTCTTTTCAGTTCAGAGATAATCATAATCAGTGGGAGATGAGATGAGATGGTGGAAACGGGAGAAAAGTGTGACACCAGGGTTTCAAATGGCTGATTTATTACCAGATCAGGTCACATTATTACGGTAGTCAGCATGCAGAAGGGAGGAATAGGGTGATAAATATGGTGCTACTACAGTTTTCACTTTTTTCCAGCTTAAGTTTAAAAGTACTCTGGGTCTGAGCGTTAAAAGAAGCCCCATAAGAAACATACATCTAAAATTGGCCTTCGATTTAATACCAGAGAAGACCAGAGACTAGCCCAGCCAGGCAAACTGTTAAGTAATGGGAAAGGGTTTGAAATTGAGGCTCTAAAAATATTGCTAACCCATTAAATCATGTACGTAGTTTCATTTAAGGGCGTGTGGTTTTAAATCTACTCGGTCGGGAGGAGCATTCAAAACGGGAAAGATACATACATAACGTCTCTTAAAATGAAGAGAACAAAAACGTGTTACACAATTGCTGAATGGACTTTTTCTCTGTCGAGATTACGATAAGAGATGGAGATTTTTAGAGAATAGACTTTTTTTTCGGGATGATGATGATGATGATTATTGAGAGTGAAGTGTATGTAGGAATCGAGGGGAGCCTGAAATAAACTATCACTTTTTTGAAGAGATGTAAATAAGGAGAAGAACAATGTAAGAAAAGAACAACTGCTACTCGTCGTTCGTATATGCATATCAGTACAGTTTTGTCCTCTTTTTCAGTGGCCGCGGAGGACAGAGGGACAATGTCCCCACGGTTGTTCGATGTCGGCATCATCTCCCCATCTTATACAAACCCTCCCTCCCCTATCCTGCAATGTTAATGTCCCCACACGGCTTCCGCGGCCACTGACTCCTCGGATACATAGTAATTTATTAGAAAATGTAACAAACTATATCCACTACTCCATCTCTTTAAATAAAAAAACCCTTTACACACAAGACTGGGCTCTTCAGAGGCATTGTAAAAGTAGAGAAATAGCACCATTGTCGTGTGACGGATCCAATTTTTAATTTTCTAAAAGCGTCATCAGCTTATTAATCCTTGTCCGTGGCTCAAAAGTGGGAAGGAGAACGTGTTATTCAGTACATTGTGTTAATTTTGTACAACTTGAAAGGATTTGAAACCCCAATTCCCTTGGCTGGAGCTCATGTTGATTTCGAGCTGTCATGTCATTATAAATAAACTTGCTTTCCTTCAGTCCTTTACAACAAATGGGTTGGGGTTGGTCATGCCAGAACCACGTGAAATGAAAATGTACACTTTTTTCATATAAATAATCTCGATCTAACCCTATCATTTATCCGGAGAGAGTTGATCATTGGATTGGATGCACGTCTACTGGCTGGATAGGATTTCAGACCTCTTTTGTAAATTAAATAAATATATATGTACCAGTCTCCAGAAAAGAGCGAGTATCAAGTTGGGGAAAAAACCAGCCTTATGTAGCCCGAGTCAGGGTGTTAATAACACCGTGTTATTAAGAATTTAGGTGGGTATAAATCGACAACTACAATTATTTATTTATTTTTCCACAGTTTTTGATCATTTCTGAACTTGATTCCTAATTTTGAATGTTCTACGTCCGTTCAGAATTTCAAGTCGATTTCATCAGTTTGACGAGCGTAATCGATAGACAGAAAGACAATCATGATGGGAACATAACTCATGCCTTTTTAATTTTTCTACACAATTTTCTCATCTTCCAACTTAATAATTTTTCATTTCCAACGTGTGTCCAAAATTTCAGGTCGATTGGATCAGTTTTACGACCGTAATCGATACACAGACAATCATGAAGGGTACATAAGCCCTGAGTAGGGCTAAAAAGTTGTACATTTTCCCCCCTAAATATTTATGTATAATGTCCATTAATAAATACATTGTCCGAGAAAATTGATGTCCTATTTTATTTCATCGCATCGCTATACGGGTTAAATGATCCAAATAAAATAATCAATATAGCGATGTCAGAAATGAATCGGACGAAATACGAAAAGTATATTTTCGCTCAATTTAACCCGTAATGTCGAACGGCCATTTGAATAAATCTCTAAACCACCACAAGAGAAGAGGAGAGAACTATGATGAAAGCGAACAAGTTAATGGACCACGACTAGTTCGATTCATTTGGTGCCAGACGAAACGCCAAAAAAGAAGACGTGAAAAAGAACCCTCTCACATTTCCAGGACAAAGTTTCATTTCGTAAATGCAAGCCAGGTTCCGTTTTCTCGAAGCGAAGGTACCGTCCAGAGAGAGAGAAGGATGATAATAAAAAATGATCATGACCACACGACGACTTAAGTTGCTTGGTGGAGAGAGAAAAAGTGTATAATAATCAGAGGGTGGATATGCATTTACTACAAAAACTTCCAAAATATTTACGAAATATGTATTAAATAACATAAAAACAAGAATTTTTCCAAAATTTGTACTTTTAAAGGTAAAATATTTACTCTGGATTTTTCATGGTCCAATTTCTTTCAGAAATAAATTTCGTCTAACACATCGTTGAAATATTTACAAAATGTATACGTATTTTTGAAAAAAATTGTGAAAGATTTACATACTTTTCAAATAATATCAGAAATATTTATATGTCTGAAAACTTCTAAATATGTGCCAATATATAAAAATATTTTGAATTTTTGTGATCTTTGTGAGTTAGGGAACACACCTACAAAGTTTGGGTCGTCATCAAATGAAAAAATTGAAAATAAATACATATCCGCCCTCTGCTAATAATATAGCCGTTGTAGTGTCAGCCTCATATAATCATCCGAGACGGATATGTATATATGTCCAAGCCTTTTAAATTTTAAAAGGAAATGCATCAAAGTGTAAACTTGTGCTCTTCCTTGGCTCGAATAAACTATGTCCACTCTTTTCTTCTTTTTCAACCCACATAAAAATGTATGTAATGGTTTCAGAATTTATTTCAATTACAATTTCTTTACAGAGCAGGAATACTTTCGTTTCGATTCGAGATACACAAATCGTGACTAAATGGCCACCATAATTCTAATGGATTGAGAATATAGTTTAGTCTCACTAAAAATAATTCGACTTTAACAATGCCCCACCGAAATACGTACTCGACTGGTCTTTTCTTTTCTATTTGACTAAAAATAAATGTCCAAGTCATCATAATTTAGTAGATTATTTCTTATGGAAAGATAACGAACGACGATTCCATCCGACTCTTACTTACACTTACAACTTATTAAAGTTTGTATAAGGAAAGGATCAAGTTTTATCAATGTGTTCTGAATAAATACGAGAAAATAATAAATGCAATGTGAACTCCAGTGGCCGCGGAAGCCGTGGGGACATCTGGGGACATTGCTATTGTAGGATGGGGGGAGGCAGGGGTTTATATAAGATGGGCAGATCATGCGGACATCGAACAACCGTGGGGACATTGTCCGTCTGTCCTTCCGCGGCCACTGATGTCCTCTAATCCTAAACTAGGCAGACCAAAAGCGAATGGAGAAATATAAGAAAAGAAAGTCGTAAAAATCAAGTTGAAAAGACTATTCACATTTCGAAAGGCAAATCGCCAGGCAGTTCTTCTGGTTTGGGTGCAGTTGAAATGCAACCAATGCTATTTCTTTGAGAATGTGAGAATATGTACATACTTCTCTTCTCTCCAGGTTTAATTTGTATGCAATGCAATGAAATGCAAACAAAAAAAATATTTTACGAGCGAGAGACGACCTGTGCATGTAACAAGAGATCCTTTCTTCTTATTAGCAAAAGCACTCAAACTCTGTTCCTACCTATTTACTGGACAAACAACTTTGTCATAATTAGTGAATGGTTTCTCGTACATATAAGAAATGACAATAATACTGCATATAAAACCGGGGATTTTACGAGGCACCCGCAGTAGCAGGCAGGATCCATCCAGTTGTAAAAATATTTATTTTGTTTAGTTTTCAGCTGCATATTCATACACTTGCGTAGTATTTACTCGTATTTATGATATATATTCATCCCAACGTTTTATGAGATGTATGCACTAACCAAAGACCAAGGTAGGCATATAATTCCTGCCTCAATTCAGAAATGTATGTATACTATTCAATGGGGAAAAGGTGGTAGTAAAAGTCGTCATAATGTGCATGCAACGTTACGTAATAATGGCACAAGTGTCATAAAATTCTGCCTATGTAACGTGTAGCACACAATAAATTTCAATTGTGGTAATATGTGCTTATGTAATACGGTATAAAAACGTATGGTTGGTGGTATTCATTGGAATGGTTAGTGCTACCCCATTTACTCATAAAAGAGAATAAATACTTGGAGAAAGTATGACATAAAATTCGATCGAGAAAATTCAAAGTCAACTATTTCTTGATGAGGCATATGTACATAATTATTGACAGAGTTGAAACACCAGTAAATAACGCATGGATGGATAATTTATGCGAAAGGTAAACTTACTTCCGACAATGGAATAAAGCTGGATGGCCCGTCATTCAACGCGGTAGGAACCAGACCTCCTTTTCCCTGTTTCAGAGAAAAACAACTTTCTTCAATCATCATAACATAACGTTTCATTAGGCATTTGCATAATAATGTAATTTAATATTCATTAATTGTGTCATGCGCAGTGGCCGCGGAAGCGTATATGGGGACAGAGGGACAATGTCCCCACGGTTGTTCGATGTCCGCATCATCTCCCCATCTTATACAAACCCGGCCCTACCCCCATCCTACACTGTTAATGTCCCCCCAGCTTCCGCGGCCACTGGTCATGCATGTCATTTCATTACGTCGAGTAATCCCAGCAAGGAAACCGCCTGGTCCCGAACTTCTGGAAATGGACAGTCAAACGCCAATCTGAGCAAATTCGATAACTGCAGATCATTTGGTGGGGGTGCGTGAAATTTGAGAAATCGAGAATCCCCCTCGTCCCCTTCTTCTTCTTCTTCTTCATCTTCTTCCGGTATTGCTTGAGAAATTGGGGGCGGTGGTGGTGGTGGTGGTCGAGGTGGGGGCGACGGACTGTGCTGTGCGTTATACAGCAATCCCCCAATCTGACGCCGACACGGGCTTCGCGACCAGTCTGAGATGGTGAGACCAAGGTCAAAATCCAGCTGAGCGTATGACCCAAGGTGAACATCGTTCCAAAACGTTTTTATCGTGAGGCGCTGTTCTTCATTGGGACTTTGATGGAAATGAACTTGAAATCCTAAGTCGGGAGGGTTGGTTATGCTGTTTCGCCAATTTCGAGGCATGCTCAGGTGGAATAGAGTGGTCACTTCTTCCTCAATTTTGGCTGGGGGCATCGTTTCATCGATTTTATTCATTATTACTGGTTTTTTTTATTGAGAGGTAGAGGAATCTTGATGATGAGCAGGATATATCACAGGCGTAAAAGTAAAATGATGAGTATTTTGATTCGGAATTGTTGAGTATTTTGTTCCTTCGGGAAATGTAGTGTTCGGAATTTGGGTAATATATGTATCACTCTTCAATGGGGAATTTTCTTGCCTGAAAAACAAACCGGTAACAAAATGTACATCAAAATTGCATTTTTAGCGTCTTTGTTTTACCCAAAAAATTATACGACGGTCCGGTTGTTTTGCGTCTAATCGTAATATCACAGTTTTCTGAATGACATAAAAATTTGACAAGTAGTGGAATTATGCGATGATTTTTATAATATCAATCTGAATTTGGCATTTATTATTGCTTTGACCTTTAAATTCTTATCACAAACACCGCATAGAAAATTATTTGTATTAGTTAAAAGTCGATACTTTATATTTGCATTAAAACTCTTTAATGTTTATGTATAATTAGATAAATTGTTCCTTTTTCAATTAGCACATTGTTTTAAAAAAATATTGTTTAATTGTTATTAAAATAAACTTTCACTGCACGATACATGAAAAATATGAGCACTTTTCAGCAAATGTTTCTTAATAATATTTAACTTGTAGGACGAACTAAGCTCAAAATTAAACTGGGCTTGTGAAATATTTCACATTTCACTAAATAAATCTGGACAACATTTAATTTTACATTTTCCAGTTCATTCCAGTTAGTTAACGACCTTTCCTAAACTTATCATCACAGGTTAATTTGCATATCACCAATATTTTTGGATTAAGGCACCGGTTTGTTACAAAATTGAGCTAGGTTTACAATTTGGCTTGAAAGTTTAACTAAATAAAGTACGTTATTTGTTCTTATGTAAATCTTGGAATTTGTATATTTTTTCTTTGTCTCCTTGATTCAAATTCAGGAATGCTTTGGCTTTTTGGAGTCAGTGTACTGTACAATCTTTGGTTTTGTTATGTTTAAATTATTTATGTGCTAAATATGTAAGAACTAAATAAGTACGATTTAGCACATTTAGTTAGTTACACAGATATTTGCGCAATAAATGAAAATTGTATTGCAGATTTATTATTGGTGGCGTATTTATCCATGTGAAAAGTAGTAAAATGAGAAGGTTATGGATATGAAAAGACTCAACACTCGCGCAATTCGACTTTTGTCCCAGGTTTCACGAAAGCAGTGTAAAGAAATTCATGAAAATGTTGAATTTTTTAGAAATTTTGAAAGAATTTGAATAAGATAGGAGAAATTTTGGAGGAGAATGTAAACAAAATCTGCGGAATATTTTAAATTGTGTTGGTCCTTAGGGAAAATTTTCGACTTTTAAGTTATCCAAATTCGTTTCTTAACGTTTTTTGGATTTTTAAAAGTTTTGTTTCATACATACTAAAAGTATGTATGGTATTTAGTATTTATAGTATTTATAGTATTTTTAGTACCTATTTATTTATTTTTGATATTTATCATCTTTTTTAGTGTGAAAATATTTAGTGTGAAAATAAATAAAATATATCGACTTTTAAGTTACTCAAATTCACCTTCTAGCCTTCCGTAAATCTTTAAAAGTTTCGTTTCATACACATTTTGGTGTTTTGTCATATTTTTATTTTGAATATATTGATTTTGGAAATATTTAGTTTGAAAATACAATATAATTTTAAAGCTAGTTATTTATTTAATTATGATGCTGGTTGTCTATATAATTAGCAACTTATTGATAAGCAAAAGATATTTTATTTTATGCAACCTAAAATGAGACATATGTGAAATGAGGCTGTAAAATGAGAAAATGTGGTTATGCTGACAAAATTATTGTGATCCGATGTATTGTTAAGATGAGTAATGTCTCGTTGTCAAGTTATTTATCACTAAAACGGAATATAAAATCAGACCCTTGACAAAGAACATGTCCCGTTTTTTTATTGCATTACAAATTTTGACATAGGATCGTAAAATATGAAATATTAACCTACAAAAAAAAATTTATTCGCAATATCTCATAAAAAACTATTCAAATGGGCCAAGTTCTCTCCTTTTTCATCGGTAATACTGCATCCGACAATTTTCATGACGCCTGCATCGAGCGGTACCGAAAAGAACGGAAGAAAACCCGGCAATCCGCAGTACAAGACAAGCTTGAAAATACAGTAATTTCCGGATTTCATCATGGAATTTGGTGTCAAAGTTTTACTGAAAAATTTCGGATGAAGCGTAACAATGAAGTTGAAAGTCGTCATCATGATCCAATTGTAGAAATGAAGTCTCAACTTTCCCTTCAAACACAGTCAGTCTCGGATTTATTGTTGGATCATGGTTCTTCCGACTTTATCGAAAAGTTTGATACGGATTCGGGATATGGGACAAATGTGGACCACAAGCCGTTCAATAAAACGTATGTATGTGGACATGTTTTGGTACAATTTTTCCATGGATGGGCAAAATAATTTGTCAAAATACAGTATTTTGAGCTCTGTTCTTCCCAGGGTTTGGATTTCCGGGAGCGTTACACCCACAAAAAGACGAAAATCTACGTGGAGATGGCAAAAGTTGTACGAAAATGCAGGTTTTGTGAATAATTTAACTTTTTGCTGTCAAAATGCATTGCTTTCACGATTTTTTAATAAATGTCATATTTTGACGCCGATAAAGTTATTTTTTTTCACAAAACGTGTATTTTCGTAAAACTTTTATATTCTCCGTTCTATGATCTCGTCTTTTTGTGGGTGTGACAGTCCTGCAAGTCCAATCCCTGATAAGAACGGGGCTCAAATTTCTGTATTTTGACACCGCATTTTGCCATCCCTGAATTTTACTTTAGTTCAATATTCAATTTTTCAGGTTGAAAACTAATTCCTCTAATGAAGTCGCATCACTCCCTCTTATTACACCACCTCGTAAAAATTCGGATCCTGCAGCAGCACCAACCAGTGTTTGGACAATGATCCAATCTGGAACTTATTTGGCAAGCGTGACAGCAAAAAAGTCAGCCATGACTATCAAAAAGACCTCTCAGACTGGCGAGGTCCAACAAGACGCTGCTGAAATGAAGACCGGAGATTCATTATGTGACGATAATAATTGTGATGACAAAACCGAAAAATTTGAGTAAGAATAAAATTTTGAGAAATATTTAAATCCATTTAAAATCTATTTATTTTTACGACAGGAATAAGCACGTCGATTTTTTAGAGCCATTGGAAATACCCGATAAGCCAGACGAGACTAATTAATAATTTACAGTCCGAACTGTAAAAATAGCCAATTTACTACCACCACGCAATATTTAGTAAACTGTTGATTGTATACAATTATATTTCTGCCGGGATAATAATAAACAATGCACCGAGATATCAGATCGAGTGGAAAGTTGCATAACCGCTGTAATTGCCAAGCTATAATTTAATAGGTAGCTTACTTAATTGACGTTACGTTACGTAAATAGTTTTATTAATAGTTTTATTAAGTGCAGACATACGTACAACGGAGTAGCCAAAGCCATAAACTAATTAAGTATTCGTCTCATCGCGTCATAAAATTGTTCCAATTACACTTTTTTGGAACATTGGCCGCGGAAGCGTGGGGGCGGACAGAGGGACAATGTCCCCACGGTTGTTCATCATCTGCCCATGTTATATAAACCCCTCCCTCCCCATATCCTACAATGTTAATGTCCCCAGATGTCCCCACTGCTTCCGCGGCCGCTGTTAAAAATTGGTTAGTTTTGATGATTGGAAAATGCCACGGTGTACAAAATCTGATCCAATCCTTGCGTTTTTCTTTGATTTTTGCACTCCACGATTTTTTTAAATCCAATATTTGGAGATTTGTATGCCGGCAGGCAGGAAATTTCATTTGTCAAAAGTTCCGTCGTCGTGTCGGAGCGAGCCATCCCGGTGTTTTGACGGCGTTGTTGTCGTCGCCGTCTTCGTGCTCGGAACCAGAGGCGCAAGGTCAGAAAGTAGAGGACTTCGACGAGGCTGAGCCCGCTAAAGCCGACTTTTTAATTGAATTATTAAATTAGTAGGTAATAATTCAGTAGTGAAGTGAAATGATTACAGTGGCCGCGGAAGCCGTGGGGACATTAACATTGAAGGATAGGGGAGGAAGGGGTTTATATAAGATGGGCAGATGATGGGGACATCAAACAACCGTGGGGACATTGTCCCTCTGTCCGCACGCTTCTACGGCCACTGGAAATGAAGCTTGATTTGATTTAATTTTTGATTGACAACTTACGACTTAAACTCATCAGTCCGCCAAAATTCGCTGGAAATTACGACATGCAAATTACGACATGCAACTTACGCCGTTAATATGATTTTGTAATGAAGAAATCTTAAAATAAGTCTGTTTACCGATCAGGTCCACCATACCGTACAGTTCTTTTCGTAGTTTTGCATTAGTGGATCCTTCGCCAAAATAAATGTGCACGATAGACACATTTTTCTCAGCCCTGCAAGTTTTAACCGCATGAATTTTATGATGGTTTTTTAATGATTTTATTTCAAGACTAGATTTAATTTACCAAGCAGCTAACTGATTTTTCGAATCGGTCCAAAGAATTTCTGACGACTGCATGGTCGTGTAAGTGGATTGGATTGCATATACAATTTCCGAACAGGTAGGGATACACATCTTGCACTGGGTTTTATAGTTTTCCACGAATTTTTCTGATGAATTTATGTGCAAGAATTAAAATTAATGAATGTCTTATTAATGACAAATTATAACTTGCATACTCTTAATATTTGAAGCGCATTGAAATTGCTTGGGTCCACAGAGAGGTTTTTGGTCATCGCCGGGCTGATAATGCCTTCTACAGTTGCACTCTTGATACGTTAAATTGGCGATGCATTCATCTGTAATTAATTAATTACGGTGTTATTAGTAGTTAATTATAATTGCATGAACTTAAATTCATCGAGTGTTAAGACCAAAAGAAACGACTGACTAACTTGTACCCGCGCTGATATTTAAGGTCATTGGCGGCGGAAATTAATATGGACAATTAGGTATTGTCCCCCCAGAAATTATGCAAAATCATATCTTATCTTGCACATGTTAATAAGTCCCTCGTCCTCCAATCCATCAATTCTAATGTCCCCATATGCCCCACAAACTTCCGCTGCCACTGTTTAAGGTGCTTGTTAATTAACTATTTGTGCAAAATTATGTCCATACCTATGCAGTTGCTGGAACTGTAGTAATTGTAATATCCAAGTTTATGCTCTTCGTTAAAGTAGCATTGGCGATGTTCCTGCACAGAAAATCAATTTAGTTACAAATATGCATGCAAAATACGAATCTATGCAAATCTGACGACTTTCTCCTCACCAATGAAAATGATTTAATCTCGTCTTTTACTCCGATCGTAATTTCCGGTCGGATGTTAATGAAAACCTCAGAATTTGGTTTTATCGCGCTTCCAAGATCGCTAATGTGTGGGACATCAATTGGCAAGTGTGTTACGAGCTGTATGAAAATTAAGTAAAATAGTTAATTCAGAATTACATTTAGGAAACTTAAATAAGTATATTCTGAAAATCTCACTCTAAATCCGACAGAATCCGATGTAGTACAAAAATACTCGTCTAAATCGGGGTTTAAGAGGATCGACAATCCGAACGATTTTCCAGGTACTTTTTGCTTTCTTGGGGTTTCTTCCTTGTAATCACTTTCCTTTTTGGCGTCGTCCTCCTCTTTTTCAAGTGGTTCACTAGTATCGTCTGGTTTTACGAATTCATACATTTTCGGTTTCTTTAAAAGACTTTCTCCGTCCCAATTCCACCATTTATTTTCCGGTTTTGATGTTTCGCTGTATGTAGGAAAATAATTAAGAAATGCATAATTCGTCAAATTTACATACCGGAAATGCTCTATTTATAGCCGGGCCTAATAAAGAACAGGCTGCAATTTCAGAACAGCTAAAAGGCTAAATTTTGCATACATAATTTGCATGCATACATTATTTGAAGTACTTTATATCTGAGGAGGCTTCGTCGGAATACATGGGTGTGGTTTATAAAAGCAATTTATATTTAATTTACTTTATATCATTCGAGACCCATTTTTTAAAATTTGAAAATCTTGGCCCCCAGACCCAGACCCAGCTATAATTTGAGGATTTGCGATACTTTTTCGGAATTTTAGGATTTCTTCGTAAAAATAAGGCTCACTTAAATCTGTAAAGGACCGAGAGTGGGGCCATGTTAAAAGTGCAACATTTCCCGTAATCGGTTTCAATCTCTGTGAACAGTTCGGAACACACTTTGACCTCTCCTTGCCAAGTGCATTTGACGATCATGTCGGAACACGAGGGTGACGCCTGGGTTACATACAAAGTGAGAAAAACAAAGTGATTATGTCGCTTAATTATTTGACCCAGCGAGAGTCGAGTGATTATTTCAGTACGTGCTTCTTCCTGGATACTCAAAATCCAACACTCGTATAATTGGAAATTGATTGAGTTGCTCTACTATTTGATGATGATTGGCGACATTATTTACATGGTCGTAGCAATCATACTTTTATCCAGTGGCCGCGGAACCGTGGGGACAGAGGGACAAGGACCATATGGTTATTTGATGTCTCCATCATGTCCCCATGATATTCAAACCCCTCCCCTAGCCTACAATGTTAATGTCCCCAGATGTTCCCACGGCTTCCGCGGTCACTGGGAGAATTCAGGCTACTCACATGTAGGTACATGATGCAGTGGCTGCGGAAGCGTGTGGACAGAGGGACAATGTCCCCATCTGTCCGTGTTACATGAACCCTCCCTCTCCTATCCTACAATGTTAATGTCCTCACGGCTTCCGCGGCCACTGCGGACCTTTATTAAATGTACTTATGTAAGTGAAAGTTATATAGTTACTCACCTTCAAGAAAAATTGCCACAAGTCTTCTTTTCCACCGTCGTAATTATTTTCATTCCTGTTGGTCACATGTAAGCTCCACTGGTCAATTTTCCCCCGTGATGCCGAGTAATTGAAAGTTTTGCTAAAGCTTTTCGACGATGAACAGACATGATTTAGGTAAAATAAATTTTCACGAGCGGCACGAACCCCTTCAAGTCGAGAAGAACCTTTCGATTCTCTGGATAAGTAATTTGGGGAGAAAGTGGAAGTCAGTAATTTTCTAAATATGATATTGATAATTGATCCTTACTCCATAAACTGGACTGCCTTGCTCTTCAAGACTTTGTTCATGTTGCAAACTATGGGATGAATAGTTTCAAATTTATGCAAAATGTATGTAAATTTATAATTTAGAAAAATATGATAGCTTAATGAGAAAATGAGTAAACGAACTTGTAATAGCCGGAAATGGAATTTCTTCAATTTTGGTATCAAACGGAGCGAACGTTAGAATTACGGAATTTAACTTATACTTTTTCCAAACATCGCTTATCATGCAATAAGCAATAACAAGTCCCGTGATGAATGCGACACTCCAGAAAATTCTGAAAATAAATAAGAATTTGTTATCTAAAACAGTACAACCTTACTTAACCAGAGTCAGGTTGTTGTTTATAATCGATGTGGTAGGATGCCACCTTCACATTTTTTTCGAAAAATTTTGTTCATTTTCGAAATTAATTCATAATTTTGCGTATTCTACGTGTAGACAAAATTTCAAGTCAGTTGGATAAGTACACACGCGTAATCGATAAAAAAGACAGACAATCATGCCGGGTACATAAGCCCTGACTCGGGCTAAAAACCCATAATAAATATTTCCACCCGAAATAAATTACCTCTCAACCAAATGCTGCTTCTTTTGTCCAATGTATTTAAGCCCGTGTAAACTCGTGTTTCGAAAAAAGTCCATGTGCAACGTGTCGTCATCTGGGGACGTGGCCGTCGACGTGGATCCAGCCACGCCATCCGCCGTTGAAGGGACACAGCACGCACAAAAATAGGAAGATCTGCTGCAATTTTCCTCGTTGAAAAACTGTTCCGGAGGATTATTTTCCACGCGGCGGAACGCATACCGTTCGAGAGAACCCATGTCTTGGACGACAGAATCGCCCAATCCGTTGATGACAATTCTTCGCAGCGCGGTCGTCGTCGGAGACGGTGTGATCTTCCCAAACGTCAATTTCCTTCTGAATCTTTCACACTTTCTCCGCACGGCTCTCTCCACTTCTTGAATCTTCATTACCACCGTTTGCATGGTCGTTTTCGCAATTTATTTTTTTGTGCAAACTGAAAAAAATGCGAATAATATTTGCCAAGTGAGCGAGGTTATTCGAATAATTGAGATTTACTTAACCTCGGTCGGCAACACTTGGAAGAAAGAGTGAATAACTTCATAAATACGGTTCTTTTTATTAAATGAATCGAGCAACGACGGACAGAGACCACTTATCTGAGAGAAAATTGGTTTTGATAAGATCTAGGGAACTCGGATATGGGATAAAGATGCAATTTACGTCAATTATCTTGATGGGACGAATCAAATGGTGGTGATATCGGAAATAAGTGGATGAGGAAAATTATCTGTGCATATCAGGATACTAATTGTAAGTAAGAACAGTGGCCGCGGAAGCTTGAGGGGACAGAGGGACAATGTCCACACGGTTATTCGATGTCCCCATGTTATATAAACCCCTCCATCCCATAACAATTTTAATTTCCGCACATGTCCCCACAGCTTCCGCGGCCACTGCATAATAACCAAATGTCCAACCTTCTCTACTTAAATGTGTCGTGAAAGGTTATTGCGTCTTCTGCTCAGAGTGACAATCTGGTGGACAAATTAGCGTCATTTGATACAATGTGACCTCGAGATGAATGACTTCCGAGAACATATGACATTTACTCAAGTTAATTTTTGCCAAAACTTGGACAATTATTTACATACAAGTTATTAAAGAAAAATTAGAATAATTAGTTAATTATCCAGATCATAAGATCTTTAAATCTCGCCCAAAATAGATTTATAATTCATGCCGACATCCGGTCTAATTTTTACTTCATTTTTTGCAGAATTCACATTCTCCCGATTATGCCGTTCTGCCGATTTTGCAGAATTTGCGAATCTGTTTCGTTGACCCAGTCCGATATCATTTTGTTGATTTGTCTCATTTCTCATCTCGACGGAAAAGGTGTCGTTTTGGTAGACGGGAGAAACGTGTAATTTGCATGGCGAAGACCCCACAGCTTTCTCCAACTCTTGGACTTCGTGTTCTGCCTGTTTGTCCAGGACGGACTGACCATTCCGGAAAAGTTGGAGGGTTTTGACCTACGAAAATAATAAACAAGTTTGTAACAACAGGAAATGGAAGATTTTTGATGAAAGGTTTTCGACCTTAGCCCACGCAGATTTTATCTTTTTGGTTACTTTCCTACGAATCTCGTCCTTTCTTTTGGATGCCCACCAAGCACGGAGGGTGAAAAAGTACTATTTTTTTATAAGAGTCATAAAATTAATTTGGAATTATACTAAAAATTATTATGTAAAATAAATTTCAAATTATGAACTTACAATTACTTCCATGAGGGACAAACCACTAAATCCTAAGCATAGCCCCATTAGCCCACCTGATTAATTAATTAATTGCTTATTTAATTATGAATTTGTAAGTTTGTACTAAAAATTTTATGTAATCATTTTTACCCGTGTTGGCTAAAATATTGTAAAAATAAGTTCAATGAATTTCGAGTAATTTATAATTTCCTAAATATGATTTCCTAAACTTACATAAAAGATCTGTCGTTCCGAATAATTCTTTCCGAACTTTTGCATACGTGGAATCCTGTCCGATAAAGACGTGCACGATTGTGACGTTGCCATTAATCCTGAAACCGTAAAATAACGATAACCCCGATTTTAATTTAATTCCGTTCTTATCTTACGAGAAACTGTCCTGCGTCCCATCTTCATTTACCCAGAGACTATCTTGCAAGGGTGTCAACGTGGTTTGAGATTCATACCCAATCTCCATGCAACTCGGTAAACATTGATTGCACTCACTTTTAGCCCCAAATCTGGTCATATTCACTGTATGGTTTTATCAAGAAAATTGCATTTTCAGAAAATTTCAGAAAATTGTACTTTCACAAAAAATATGACACAATTTCCCAAAAAGATGCATACATTTCACATTTTCAGCACAGACACGATTGCCTCCACAAAGAGATTGATTATCACTCCCTTTAAAGAAAATTCAGGTAAATATTTTAGTTGGATGATGATTCACTGGATCATAACTCGCAATAAATTGGTCCATGGTCCATGGATGGACCAATTTTTTTGTGGTCCATCATGGACCATTTTGGTCCAGTTGACTATGGTCCATTGCGAGCTATGCACTGGATTACAGAATATTTATCTTACTGGGCATGTAGTACCGTTTGCAGTTACATTCCTTCAGCGTTTCGTTTGCTATACACTCGTCGACGCAGTTGCTGGGGGTGTAATAATTGAAATACTGCAGCGCATATTCACCCGGTTTGTAGCATTGTCTGATACTCTGAAAGGAGTAAAATTTCGTGAAATTATAAGTAAAAAATTTTAAATTAAAAAGAATTATAAAATTGAAACTGAAGTATGGGTTTGTAGTATTTTTTGAAGGGTTAGAGATCAAAATTGTTATATAAGAGGAAGTATTGTCAAATGTCATACATGGATGAAATATAAAGCGTATAAATAACAATTAGGAATGTAAAATTAAAAAATTTCATAAATGGAAAAGTTTCTACGCCGAAAATATAATTTTTTATCTTCCTGACTCGGGCCGCATAAGACTTAGGTTTTTGAGGTATATCGAATTGTAAAATGTCAAAATTGTGAACAAATGTACCAATATTTACCTTGTCGAATTTAAAAACTGAAGGGTCCACCAACGTAATATCGGGCTTCACATTAACGAAAACTTCAGCCTTGGTACGAATACTGATCCCAAAATCGGTGACATGCGGCGTATCTGTCGGCCAATGAGTTTGTAAACGAAATCCCGTAGAATCTGACGTGGTGCAAAAATACTCTTCCAAATTGGGATTAAGGAGGAAGGAAAGTCCGTACGATTTTCCTAAATACATTAAAATTAAAAAAATCGGAAACCAATGTATTTGATGTAAGTATTTACCAGCCTCCATTTGGCGACGAGGAAAATTTCCAATTTTGTTATTTAGCAAGACCCCTTCAGCCCCGGCGGACCCACCGCTTTCAACGTTCCATTGCATCCATTCCTTAACTTCGGTCTCGTCGTCACGAGTATCGTTCCTGGAATGTTTGAGTTTTACTTAGAATGGAGGTCTCACAGAGTATGATCTCAGATTTTGAGCAAATTAGTATCAATCGATGGCAAATTCAATTGGGATGAAATTTGCGAAAGACACGATTTCCCAATGGGCACGTTTGGCAGAGATATTTGCATCCGAAGAGGCGAAAACGCGCAGTAAATTTGGGATGTGTAAAATTTGTCGACTTTAAGGGTGCTTTTTCTCCTCTTCGGATGCAAATATCTCTGCGAAACGTGCCCATTGGGAGATCGTGTCTTTCCCAAATTTCATACTAATTAAATTTATGATCGACTGACACTAGTTTGCCCAAAATCGGAGAACATACGCTGGGAGACCTTCATTGTTAAGTAGATTTGAATCGTGTTTATTGTACTTTTTTCGTTAGTAATTTGCACCGATATTACAATTTACCCATGGCGCAAGTTACCAATTTGGAGCTTTGATTTGTTTTAATCCATAGAAACAAGTATACATCTCTTAAAACTTCTAGTAATTACATACCTCAGTTTGTACAGCTCTGACTGTGGCATCATATTAAAAGTACCTATGGACAAAATATTTGAAGAAATTTGACTCTGATTCACAAACTTTGCATACATATGTATTTAGCTTACAGCATTTTCCAAATTCTGTCTCAATTGGTCGAAATAGTTGTGAACAGTTTTTATATTCCTGCGATTTTGAGGTACAAATTTTAAATATTAGAATTACATATACTCGTTTCATAAATTACTTGATCCTGCCAAATACACAAGGGTATCATGTCACTGCAGTTTTGAGACGCCTAAATGTAAACACGAGTCGTTTATCAAATTCATGTTTCGCAAAATTTACCTCTGATTATGCACTAACCTTTCTTAAAAATTCGTTAACTTTTGTCAAGTCGAGCGAATCAACATCTTTGATAAGGGCTCGAACAATTGGTCCGTACGAACCAGTAGTAAAATTGAACTGACTCGTAAAACTTTTTGTCGCTGTGCAAACATGGTCCAAGTAAAATACGTCAGCTTTTGCGTCAAACGAATCCTCATTTTGTGCTCTCCTAAATAAGTTCCAAATTCAGAAATTCCATTTATGAAAAAGATTTCGCATTTTTAAATAATTTTGCATTTCATACGCAATGTATTCTTCCGCTTTTGATTTTAGCACTTTGTTCATGTTGCAGACTGAGAGAAAGTGATTATTATAATATAATGGTGAAAGTGAGAAAATTAGGCAAATCTGATCTGAGAAAATAGGTGTGTACCTGTGATTGCAGGAAATGGGACTCGGTCCACAGATATTTGTGTCGGTTCGAACGAAACTATAATTGGGCTGTTGTTGTATTTGTTCCAAACATCAGTGATTAAAATGGTTGCAATTGTTAGGCCAAGAATGAACGCTCCCATCCAGAAAATTCTGTAAGGAAATTATGTAATCTCACAATGGAGGTCTCCCAGCGTATGTTCTCCGATTTTGACAAAATTAGTGTCAAATGAGCACAAATTTAATCAGTATGAAATTTGCAAAAGACATGATCTCCCAATTGACAGGGTTTACAGAGATATTCGCATCCGAAGAGGAGAAAGCACACAGTACATCTTGTAGAATTTGTCAAGTTTACTGCATGTTTTCTCCTCTTCGGATGCAAATATCTCTGGCAAACGTGACCATTAGGAGATCGTGTCCTTTGTAAATTTCGCATCCATTAAATTTGTACTCGACTCACTCGACGACTGACCTATTTGGTTAACATAGGAGAGCATCGGCTGAGAGACCTCCATTGTCAGAGCTTATTTTCATAAAAATTATGATTTACGAAAATATTTATGCAGACCTTTCAGAAATGTGTCGATTTTGCTGGCCAATATATTTTAATCCGTGAAGACTCGTATCTCTGCAAAAGTCAATTGGCATACTTTCTTCCTCTGGATTCCACCACTGGACATCTTTTAGTGAATCCTTAAAACCTTTCTTCTTTCCACGAATTTCGCTATCGGTCGACTGCTTGCCATTGTTGGAGGACATGTTTGCTATCCCATCGACATTGGTCACGTTATCTGCAGAAGACTTTTGAGTTTCTACGTTGATGATACGATGAGACGACTTTCTCCCCCCGAAAGAATTGTTTCTCTTCAGTTTTACCCGACTGAATACGTTTCCATTTCTGCGGACCAAATTTTGAAACTTTTTGACTAAAGTGTTGCCATTGACGTTTTTGTCGTCGGTGGTCTTTACTGCTGCAGTCAGTTGGGCACCTTCCTCTTTCCGCAGCATTTTCATGTAGTCATCCTGTAATTATTACAATTTTAAGGATAATAATTAATATTTTGAAATGTTAACCAGTTTGCGAGACTACGTTTTTAAAATTTCCGTAACACTCAAAATGGTAAAAATTTCCGTAGCCCATCTTGAAAATATTACAAGGTGTCCTTTAAACATTTTTCATATTGTTTAAACCCAAGAGATAAGGTGAGTTACGGAAATTTTAAAAACCTAGTTTTGCAAACTGCCTATTTAAATTTCGAATTTTTTTCTCACATTAATAATTGTGAGGATCTTTGACTGCGGGGTTGCCCAAGGATCCATCAGACTTGCTGGATTTCTATAGCATGCACATTTGTATGTATTGCTCTTCCTTCCTCTGGACGACGACTATAAAGAACAATAATTAGCAGGAAACCCGAGGACGAAAATAAGCCCTCTTTATAAAATTGTTTTCCAAAAAGTACACCGACTCACGAATTCCCTTGAAGCGGACTAATTTTATGGTTGTTCTCCTTATTTTGACGCAATGAGTTCATCCATTCATCCATTTTCTGATGGATGGATACGTATTTATTGCGTTGTGCATCTTCATTTCGAACTTGTAGGAGGAAATTATATAGTTTTTTTTTTACATGCATGCACTTACCGGGATGATAATGGCATGACCGTCGTGGTGTCATCCTCTTTAATGGATTTATAACGTTTGTCTGGAAAATTCGAGCCATGCCGTTCGCCGTGGCGTGGGTTGGTGGACAGTGGCGTGGCGTGACAATGGGCTATATGACTCGGGATTTGAAAGTGAAACATAATATTGCAGCCGTAAATTAAAGTAAACAGCAGGACGACATTTTCCAGAGACCACTTTCTCCATTCATGCATTGCATTCCCTGACCACTTTTGGGCTCTAATTGAGATTATTTGATTTTCGTGATTTGTTTACGAGCATGTCAGGAGTACTCAAAATTTTGATGAAAGAACCTGGAAAGTTTGATGCATGCATGCAAATATTTCTGCACGATATATTACTCATATCTGCTCCTGCAGATATTGAGACAGGATATGGATACTTGCATGCACTGACCCTGGAAAAGGGATACAAATTGGGAACACTAACCCCTAATTTTGCAAAGTTACTTAATTTGTCTGCAAAATTTTTCAAAAGTAATCGACTTCTTTCTGGTGGAACAAAAGGGTTCGATAAGATATTTACCAGCAGAAACTACAATAAATTGATATGCATAGCTATAAAATTCGGCCATAAAAATATTCATGCCAAATTCAATGAATCGCATCGTACAGTACGATTCGTACTGCATCCTTCTATGCAGCATATTTTCTTCGAAAAATGCGCAAAATTAACATCCTATAAGATCATTACTTGCAAAAAGTGTGCTTCTTGATGGTAGAAATTTCAAAAACTAGTTTTACTTTCATAATTTGAAGAAATATATTTTTCCGTCTTTTTTCGTTTAAAAAATTTTTTTTCGCATGTATGTGAATTGCAGATAGCATTCGAAATATGTATAATAGTAACAAATAAAGTACAACTTTTCCTCTTGCTCTAATGTAAACCAATTAATTCGGAAATTTAGTTAAAATGAAAATTTGTGGAAATTCAGGTGGAGAAAGTTTGAGAGGCGGAGAAAGTCGAGTCCAGTGATGACCCACACGAAAAAAAGAGACGCGCTAACATGTCCACCATTCACACAGCGAATGATTCACTTTACACCCTTTGTGAATAAACACCTGGAAAAACGTTGGCAGTTTTGTTGATTTTTATTTATTTGCGTAAAATCGTGTGAAAAATATATACAAAATTACAAAGTAAATATATTTTAGCTTAAAATAATACAGTAAATTGTTTTCTGAGTGGTGATAATTAATGTGCAAGTTGTTAAAATAAATAAAATCCTGGCCACTGATTTTAAAAATTAAACTTGGTAAAATTTCATATTTATTTTATGTTTATTTAAACAATAATGTGTTTTATATATAATATTCTATTTTTGCAGAACTCTTATCAAGGCAGCTTATCAACTTCTTCAACTGTCGATCCAAGAAGAGACACAAGATTGATGTGGATTATTTTTATCTTCAAAAATCTCGTCCTTATTTATTCGCCCTCACTAAACACATACGTACATAAGCTGTGAACTGTATAAAAAACGAGAAGAGTGGATGGATAAGACCATCTGAATTTTACACCCGCCTACTACAATAAATTGGAAATTCGTCAGATAAGAAGTGGGACCGGATACAAAGTCTTGGATGCAATAATAGCCTCCGGAGGAGCATAGTGCAACTCGTGATAAGTAATGCACATTCATTCTCTCGAACCTCCTTTATCTTATCAGCACACAGGTTTAAAGATGAAGTAACGTTTTTGTTCTGAATGCAGATTTTTAATCGCTATATACTGTGAAGCAGTACTGTATTCGTTGTATCGAGAAATATTCGGATCAGATCGAGCAGCAGAGCAGAGTGACGAAATCGGGTGTTCAAAAGCGGGGGTCGGTTGTCCCATGCTGAATGGTGTCGGTATCAAAACTGTTCTGAAATCATGGATGCGCCCGGAATAGAACCACATTCTCCGAAGAATCTATTCCTGCTGAGGAATGAGGAGGAGGACCGAAATAATTTACATGTTGATGAACATCCACTACCACCAAGTACAACCAGGTACACATATATATTTAATATGTGCCGTATAACCCTCCCATGCTCTCGATAAGCGGTTAGATGTAGTAATAGTATAAATGCGTCAACAAAGGTCTCTCGCTTATATATTATTTTTTCTTTAGCATACATAGTGGATAAAGTAAAGTATTGCTTGCATAGTCCCCTCGCAGCTTGGTCCAATATTCGCGACGTGTGAAACTTAAACCACTCTTTTGCAGTTGTTGAACAGCGTTGTACTTGGTGTTCTTCATACTTATTCACGTTTTTGTAAATTCTTATAATGTGACCTCTTTCTATTTAATTTTCTGCCTCGTACTACTGCGTGAAGAAATCCGAGCTTTGACTTGACCTCGAATATATAATGCTGCTATACAAGTTTAAATATTTGTGGCATTCTTATTTATTTTGTTCTTGTTAATACTTAATTATTGCGTAAATATGTAAATTTTCAAAATTATTATTGAAGAAAATCTACCACATCGGATCTTGTTCAAAATGGAAACCTGCAATAATTTTAGGCTAGTTCAAGTGCCATCATCTACGTCGAATTCAAGACGGTGTGAATTCAGTCGATGCGGCTGCTGCTACGATTGTAATTACTTTCGACGTAGTAAGTGCATCGATATAAACAAGTGTTCCTTATTACTGAAATACTGCTCGTGCGAATCTGCAGAGAAAATGTGATGACACGTTATCTTAGTTTTTTGTGTGTTTGTGCCGTCTCTTGAAAACTTTGAAATATTTTTAAGGAACCAATCCTGAAATGTGAAAATTACTAATGACATGATATTTGTTTTAAGAAGTTTTCATCACTGTCCCGAGACCTGCACCTGGACCCTGTTGCAAAAAATCTCTCCTTTCATATCATCATCATTAACAACGCCAGCAGCTTTCTCCCCCGGAAAAAATGTGATCACCAACTCCAAGGTTTCTGAACAAGAATCGGAACTCCTTGGACCTCAAGATATAAATTCCTCCTCATGGAATCCTCGAATTCCGTCCACCCACGACCTACTAAATTAAGTTCATCGATATCCATGTTCATTGAAGATTCTAGAATAACAGCAGTCGCCAATGCAGATTCACACCCAAGAAATCCTGGCTGTTTCTACACCATTTCGACCTACTCCCACACTCCGATCGTGAATAATTTGGAGATAAAAAATTGCAATGATGATCAAACGACGTGGACTTTTTCCCATTCGTTGGGGGGCTCAAACCCCCGAATTAGCAATGCCAACTTGTTTGAAGGAGAATTCCAACAATTGCCCTTGCCCTTGTCTAACATTACTTTTGGAGGATCTACAAACTCAATTTCCAGCAGTATCAGTGCTTCATGTTCTTCAGGGACGACGACCTCGTCAGGAGGTCATTCGGGCCCGTCATATCATCGCCAACCACCTCCACCACCTTCCTCTTTGCGAAGTTCTAGTTCCCGACCGAGAGAAGTTGTGCATAGAATTATAAGAGAAAGTAGTTTAGAAGACGATGAAGATTTGGTGGACACGTTCAATTTCAATCCACAAAGTGGCGAGTCTTCCGTGTCATCTTCTCGTCAAGGGTCTGTCAGCGTGGTGAGGAGGCATAGCAGCTCAGTCTCACAAAGCAGCACGACTTCCTTGCCTACCGATTTTGAGAGAAGAATCAGCATCTCATCGGAGTCTAGACCGATTCCAAATTCCCGATATCGCACAACCACCCTGAATATCTTACCGATGACTCCGCAGCTAAATGTGAAAGAAAACTTGCCCACGCCCACGCAAAGAATTCGAGACAATAAAACTTTCACCACGGTTAACTTGACTTTACGATCACCTTCTGCTGGTTCAGAAAATAAGTGTTTTAGTCCTGCTCCCTCGTTACAAACGTCTAATACGAATTTTAATAGTAATAATAATAGCCACGCCAGTTTCTCGGATGGACATGCTTTATGTGCTTGTGGGAGCAGTATTCGAGTGCCTCCTTCATTTAATTCTTCTGGTAACATGACATATTCCACTTACAGCGGGTCTAGGGATGGATTCGAGGCGGAAGTCCAGATCCAAATCGGGCCTAATGGAGGAACCATATCCGCGAGTAGGAGGAGGCGAGAAACGGTCGAATTGCAACAAATGAATGCAGGTAATTGTCATAAATAATTTTCATTTTTTATGAAAAATAATTTCTAAACAAAATCGCAGTGAAATTCGTTTTTTGAAAAATAGCACAAAGTCATTTATGTAATTATCCAGCGATGATACTGTTTACAGCCTTGACTCATTTGGTCCATAATGACCACAATACGTGCACGCTTCAGCGGTACAGCATTTTCTCGCTAGGCAAGCCAAGGTTCCGATGGGAAATAGTAAAATTGCGGACAGATAAGCAGCAGTGGTCAACCTCGTTCGAAAGTAACCTATTCCACAATTTGGACAAATGTCAGCGAGGGACGATTTTTTCTTTGTGTTTGGTTTTGTTACTCGTTTCTCCATGCTTCTTCCTTTTTGTTGGGGTTCTTCCGTGGGTAAAATGGTTGATGGGTTATTATTATTAAAGGACGATGCGGATTTGTCAGGATTCGGTTTTTTTGGTGGTGGTATCACTATTTCAGGGGAAGATCGCCTTAGAAGAGGGGGCGGTTGGTTACCATTGTCGATAAAAATGGGGGAAAGTTCGGCATCTTTGTAACGCGGTTGGTTCTCCAAGACGTCTCTAAATTGAAGCTGCATATCTCTTTTGTTTAAAATATCCGGAAGTGTAGCTGCTTCATCTCTGATGTTGTAGTTTTGGACATATCGACCTCGACCATGACCTCCGTGGCCAAGCACGACCAAGCCACCAACCCTACTGGGTTCCGCGGTGGGTGAAAAGAGTACATTTGACGTCTGAGTGTTCTCATCCATTTCGTTGATCGACTCCAGTTTTTCAACATACGGTCTAGTTTGTTGTGCCACTGGTTTTACTGTCCTTGGTGGTGGCGAAGTAGGTATACTTGGCCTATGCTGAATTTGGGGGTGATAGGCAGCAGGTCTTTGTGGACTCGAGGGTAAATGTGACATCGCAGTTGATTGTCTCGCCCAGAGAGCATTAGGGTCTTGTTGTGGTGGTGGTGGTGGTGGGGGCTTGGGTTGTGGAGTTTGTTGAACTATTGGTGCCACTGCTACCCCCTGTGGCAAATTCTGCACGGCTGTGGATGGTCGGACGCCCAACTCGTCTTCTCTTCCGGCGGCTGGAGGAGCAACATATGGCTGTTGTGGTTGGTACTGCATTGGTAGATTGCCAAGAGGAAATTGCCCTCCAGGAGGAATTTGTGCAACCGGAAGTGAAAGTGGTGGAGCTGCTGCTGGAAACGATCCTGGTGGAAGTTGTGGTACTCCCGTGGGCGGAAGTTGCCCAACTCCTGGAGGGGGCATTGCTCCCGCTGCACTTTCCGGCGGCGGCTGACCCCCCGGAGGCCAGAAGAAGTACCATCTCTCATGGTGATGCCCTGGATAATCCGTCTCGATTGGTTGAATTGGCTGAAGTTGGGGCAGTGGTCCAAGCTGTGCGGGAGGAGGAGGGATTGGGACGTGCACATTCACGATGGGATTACCATGATTGTCACGAACGTCGTCCTCATGTCGTAATGGGAGTGGAACATTTGCCATCATCATGTTAGGATTAGGATGAGCGGCGTCCTTTTGATCACTTCGTCTCCGTTCGTAATATTCACGTTCTTCGATGTAACCTTTAGAATCTTTTTTTCTCAGTGAGCGATAATCATGCTCTTCTCCGAGGTCGTCCTCGTTATTGTTGTGGTAGTGGTGGTCGTGGTCATGGTCATGACTGTCTCTCCGGTCGTGGTCGTGGTCATGGCTTTGTCTCCGGTCGTAGTCGTGGTCATGACTGTCTCTCCGGTCGTGGCCATGACTTTCTCTCCTGTGCTGCTGTTCCCTTGGGGGAGGGTGACTGTTCCTCCGTCCTCCTTGGTCATGGCTGCCACGATGATGTTGATCCGTAGCATGTCCATGGGTCTCACTTTTCCGACCTCTTTCATGGTCGGTATGATGTTTTCGTTCCATGTCTCATGCAGATGTTGACTGTTACAGTATTTAGCGCTCGGTATACGCCTCTCTTCTCTTTGGCCTTGAACCAGGATCCGTAGACATTAATCTTCTTAGCAACGCGCTCTGCTAAGTGTGCAGATGGGTCTGGTCAAATGAACATTTTTGGGAAACGTGACAGTGATGAATAATTTTAGCTAATGACTTTTTACTTTTTTTTTGTACATTTACAGATTTAATATCAGCCCAAGACGAGCGGAAAGACAAGTTGCACGCCACCTTGATAGCGGAGAAAGTAGAACTTGAAGAATTACAGAAAGACATTCTAAATCTTCGCAGTAAACTCAACCCGTTATTTAACGACGTGAGACTCCCACTCATTTTTGCCCGTGAAATGAAATGAAATGTATAATGTATGATATGAGCGGATGTACGGTTCCATATTGTTGGACGTGGTTAGTTCAGAAATCTGTTTTCCAAATCTTTCCGACGAGATGGTGGTGCTTAGTTTTAGACAAAGAGGTTGTTCCCTGACAAAGATAAAGTTTCACTTATCCATCATCTTCTCTCCTACTTGAGTTTCAAAATCACCGTTTTGTTTTGTGATTGCACTCTGCTTTTTTGAATGTCGGAGAGAAGCTGCATGAAAGATGTCTTCCTGTCAAAAAAATTAGCCTTTGCTTACTGTTTACCACCATGCCCAGATTTTTTTTACTTGCTTTTTACCAATCTGCCATGATATCGTGATTTGCTTGCTGCTCGCTGTCTTGTGTCGGGTCTTACTGATCGCTAAATAACCTTCAGGATTGACTTATTAGTCATATATTTCATTCTTTTTTAGGCTTTTGTGAACTATTGCTTTGTCTTTTTTGACAGGAAAGGTTTACGCTGTTTGGTTTAATTTGTGGTGCAAAAAATGGCGTCTATTTTAATTTGCAAAGTTGAAAGTTTGCAAATTTTGCAATAAGTTATGCGTCTGATGCTAATAATTATACGTGTAGATTAACCATTGACTAGGCCGGAAATTGATGAAATTCTTGTTATCATCGCACTTATTTAGTCTTATCTAAAACCTTTCATTTTCCAAGTTTAGTTCATGAAAACGGATCTTTGGGTACATTAGTTTGGCGACAATATGCTCGGTAAATGAATCGTTATAAGTGTTTCATTTTGTGAATGGAAATTGGAGCAGACTCCAACTTTCCGTTTTTTTGCAGTTGGTCCTTGCATGAATTCCTTGCAGCAAATGTCCCACGACTTTCGTATCGTAACTGGTTTGACATTTGGCCAACTTAACTAGACTGAACTGAATGTGTGCTCTTTTATAGCTTATCTTTTCCCTCTCTCTCCCTCGCGTTTCTTGTGTTATGTGTGCCTTATCTTTATTTATTTACCCAGATGCATACTGCGAACCAAGATCACGAAAGGCCGACTTTGTTTTACTTCGGAAATGATCTTGATCATAAGATGGTTATCGTACGAATGAGGCGTGAATTTCATTATTTTTCGGTACTTCTCTCACTGACTTTGTTCTACTTGCGATTGTATTTTAGCTGGAAAAGCTCAAAGATGAAAATCAACGGTAAGCGTGATATGTACAACAGATGCATGTACTATGCAGTAATTTGTTAACTGCAATTCTACAGTTTTTCTTGTTAGTCCGGAATTGCATAAAAACGAGGAAACCATTTTATGTACGTAGATTGAGGATAGAGTGTCAACTGATGACGAGGGAAGTGGATCTCTACGACAATGGGACGGGTAAGTGCATGACATGCAACATTTTATTATCCTTCCCTGTAACATGCTATTTCTGCATGGAAATGATTTTAACTGCAATTTTTTTTCTTATGAATGCAGTTCCACTTGGAGAAACCAACTTGGAATTTTACCGGGACATTTACTCCGGACAAGATATCAACGCACTGTTTGGAAGCACCCAAAGTCGTCGACGTCGCCAAGGAGTGGAACCCGGTGGCCAATATGTTTCTCGAAAACCACCTCCACCACGACCGCCTCCACCGAATCCGAAACATTTGCCCTCTCCGCCCAGAGAAGAAGGTCCAAACTCGGAATGGGTTTGTACCATGTGCACATTTCTAAACGTAAAAATTCCTTAATCATTCAGCTCTCAGGCGGTGATGATAATAACCAAAAACTGTCGTTATTTCAGCATCCTGACCTAGTAAAATGTGAGCAGTGTGATATGCAGCGCGTTTCAAGTGAGTCGTCTGTGTGTGTCATACATGTTAACATCTCGGTCTGTTTGTCTTTAGGATTTTATTGACTTTTTGAAATCTCAAATCTCGAGTAAAGTTATAAGACAGGATAGGAATTAGGAATACGTGAAAACGTTGCCAAAAGAGTTTTCTTGTGACTTGCACATTTTGAAATTCTTCGTTGGAGGAAGGAGCAGCAAAGTATTTAGGTGTGAGAAAGGTGTGACTCTACGGCAGTTAAAATGTCCACAGGAATTCTTAAATGATAGCAATATGTACTTGTAGTATTATTGCTTCCATTATTTTCATAAAGGATTTACCGTCGGTAGGTATTATGTAAATGTAGTACGTTTATCTATATGGACACGTATGTATGACTATTCCCGCTATGCAGACATGGTTCACTGGCACGTCTTGTCATATTCTGAATGGAATTAGCAAGTCCTTGACAATTATCCAACTCTGTGTTTAATCCATTGTCAAGAAACCTGCTTCCTTCCGTTACGTCGAGAGATTAGGGTTGGACAAGGAGAAAATCTGTGATGAATTAACTCACACATTTTGAAGATTTACATTAACAGCGTGTTCTGCTCGTGGCTGGCTGGCGTGGCGTGGAGTACATAAAATGAAAGCAACTCTCTGAATTCTTCTTAATTGTGCAATATTTCTTATATTATGGTTTCCCTCGTTAATGTTGTTTTTTGTTCGTTCGTGTAGAAAGAAAGGTGACGTTTGTGGTTTTTCTTAAGTGTTATTTGCCAAGCACGGTAAAATGGATCTAGATCTGATAACCACAATTACACGGGTATGCAACCGATCCGTTAAAAACTTGTTCATTGCTGCTGCTCAGCTATTTTAGGTGAGAGAGAGGCCCAATGAAAAAGTGATACTAACTAATCCGTTGACGATCATTACAAATTCTACTTTTATGTAAGCAGAGTTTAGCTAGATGCTTGATTCCGTTGGTCGTCGTCGTCTATATTTAGAAGTCTCAGACACATTATTTTCATTGGATTGGAGTACTAGTCGACTTTCTTATGCAAACGCCTTCCGGCCACAACGAGTTTATATCAAAATCCAATCATACAACTAATTTTAAATTTTCTAAACCAAGAACCAATCCAATGCCAAAACTGAAAAAATTAGATAAACTAAACTTCCCATCGACGTGACTACTCCGTTTTTCCCATGAGCCAAATGTTGTTGCATTGCATGGCAGTTTTAGTGAGATGAGATTCGAGAAGAGTTTTGTGGAGAAGAGAAGAATGTCCTCAGATTCAGAATGGTGTTGAATCTTGCAAGGAGAATTTATCCTTGTCTTTTTTACTTGACATGTTTAGATTGTGTTAATTAGTTTCACTCCATGAAAGAGGAAATCCAGGAAATTCCTTAATTATTTTGGGGTTATTTCATGCTTATAATTCTCTAAGAATGGAGGTCTCCCAGCGTATGCGATCAGATTTTTAGCAAATCAGTGTTAATTGATCACAATTTTAATCAATATGAAATTTGGGAAAGACACGATCTCGCAATGGGCACGTTTGGCAGATATATTTATTTACATCCGATGAGGAGAAAACGCTCAGTAAATTTGGAAAGTGTAAAATTTGTCAGTTTTCACCATCGGATGCAAATATATTCGCCAAACCTGCGCATTGTAGGATCGTGCATTTTGCAAATTTCATACTAAAAAAATCTGTGATCGATTGACACTAATTTGCTCAAAATTGGAGAGGATACGCTGGGAAACCTCCATTCTAAGAGGCATTTCGTGGATAAAACGCTCTGAGTAGGTTTACGTTTTTAAAACAATTGAAGTACTCATTTGTTTCCTGTATGCAAATGAAACCATATATTTTCAACGTTTTTGTTGGCACGTGTACATATCACAGGAGTTGCAATTTCTATAAGATCGAGAACCCATGCCGAAGAAATTGGCGATCTCGGCCCACCATTTGTCACTGTTTCCTCTCCCCCAAGCAGTCAAGTTGAAAAATGCATTCAGTCCATGTTGATACATATATTTTAAATCCCACTTCAATTAATGCGTCCGTCTTTAAACAAGGCAAGGAAAGGAAATTTAATTAATTGTGACTTAACAGGTCGAGAGCAGAACATTCGCATCAGCATTCGACGCCATCAACAGCCACCACCGCACAGAAAAGTCATTCACTCATGGGTTGTCTGATGAAATATATGACATTGGGAAATGCCAATGTTAAATTTACATTGTGGTCGTCGTTACTGATAAATCAGCGTGTAATATCACCCAGAGCCAAAGACTGATGAAGAAGAATACATTTAGTTGGAAGAAGTTAAAGTTTTAAATAGATTTAAAAATCTGCGGTGTTTGGTAACAAGAAGAAAAAGAAATCGATTTTATTCTCAAACTCGTAATAAGAAGCAATATATCTCTCGTTTTTAGTGGTTGTTTGTGTGGTACTAGAAAAACAGATTAAGTCTAAATGTCTGGGAATCGGTCACAAATGAAGTCACGTAAAAAATCAGTCTGCAGAGGAATTATGTCACACGTTGGATCTTTTTATGGTTGAATGTAAGGAGATGATGATGATGCTTATTGGGTTTTGGTGTGCAAAAAAGATTTCGGGTGTAATTGGTTGAGTTTTTTGGTCTTTCTTTGAGTATTGACACGTGTGATTATTAGATAGTAGAAAAAAATGCAGTTTTTCACATGCTGTTCTTTAGCAGTATTAACCTTAGGAAATATAATTTATGTACTTGTTTTTATAAGAAAATTACTGACAGAGAGTGCAGTGACAAGTAACGTGTTAAAGTTTTTCCAGATTTGTTACGATTTGTGTAATAATATTTTTCTTTTGCTTTTCTTTTAAGGATTGCCAAATGCCACTGTTGGACCTTCTCCTCCTTGGATAGCGTCCCCGCAGCAATGAAAACATCAGATTTCCTCTTGAGACGCCTCAATTATTTGAAGTATTCGACTGTTTAGTTACCTCACGAATTATTAAGTTTAGTTTTAATTAACTGTGATGTCCGCTTTTATTTTACATGTTTGTGTGTTTGTCTTGTTATATACATATTTATTTAAAGGTTAGTTAAACTAAATTTTATCAAGCTTCTGCTATAAAGAGAAGAAAAATAGGACACACAATGACATTCCCAATACAATACCTGAGAGTAATTATATATCATTTTGAATGCAATGCAATGCTATGTTATCGATGATGATAATCGTTTTACTTAATCATATTCAATCTTGTATAACTAAATATCATGATATGCATGTCAAGTATGAAGGAGAAGAAGTGAATTTTACTTTAGTAGATGTATTTAATATTCAAATTAAATTTTATGCCATAGTTTTAACATGTTACGAGACGATGAATGCAAAATGAGAGATTATTGCCAAATATTTTATTTATGTATGAAATGAAAATGAGGTGCTGGTAACTTTTAGTTGGATAAGAACTTATTGGTACTACCAACACTGAACAATGTGGTGAATATTTTACTGAAATTGAAATCTTTACTTTCTAGAGAATGATGTATACGCGAAAAAGTACTATTTGTATTTCATATTTATGACATGAATTAAAGAATAATATACGAGTCGAAAATAAATATATTTTTAAACCTACATTACGAAATTGATTGATATTTATGAAAATAACGAACATACATACATACTTATTCAGTTTACTTAATCCTCCCAGGATCCGTTTTATTGTAATATATTTGAAATTTTTAATAAATCCATTAATTTAATACTTGGATATTCTCAAGCTGTGTTTTTTTCAAAGTTATACAAACCATAAATAAGACAGTACATAAGTTGTTGTTGATTGATAGCTTATTTTAGATAATAAATTGTGCAACGTTTCAACTATAACATTCGGTACGGTACACGGTACGGTCGTTACTAATTACCACCATTGCAGTAGAGATACATTTAATAGATAGGACTTTTTTTTATAACAATCATCATATTACAAGAATGGATTACAATAAACTTTATACCATCACTTTTCATCCTGCTAATTAATTAACTACTTAATTCATTATTAAATGTTAATATTTTTTACCCCCCAAAAAAACACTAAAAATATTTGATAATAGTTTGTATATAATTCATTGTGATAACTGAGAAATAATTGTCTTTAACCTGTCGAAATTAAGGTAGGTTAGGTATCATCATGATGGCTGGCTTATCGGACAGCTAACTTTTTTAGGTAAGGTATGTATGTAAACAACGGTAATTTTTTTATGGAGCACGCTCTGTATGTGATATTTCGTATCATGTTTAAAAATTGGAGTACATATTTCTGAATCATTATTTAGTATGTATTATCACCATTTTTCTCTTTTCTCTCGCTTTCACCAGCAAATTGATAACCCGAAAATATAAAGTTTCTTAAACTTAACTGGGCTGCTGCATTAATAGACTTTTGCATTTTTACTAATAATTTTTGCATTAGCATTTGAAACTTGGCTGCTGGTAGATAATTAAAGTAAATAATAAAATCTCGGAATTTGTCAAACTTCTACACGGAAATATTTACTATTTTTACTAAACTAACAAGTATTTTTAGGAAACTACACGGTTCATCATTTGCATACACATATTTTTAGTTCTACTTCCGGCGGATGGATTTGAATAAACTTGTATGTAATCCATCCTTACAATATATACGATACTTAACTTTTATTTTTTTCACTTTCCTTTTAATTTGATTGTAAGATAGTCACAGATGATTTTTTTGTACTTTTTTCCAAAACCAAGCTTCATTCGATTAATATTCATTGACATTTGGCAAAAGTTGCAATTTGAGGAACTAAATTGCACATTTTTTCTTCTTTCTTGTAAAATTATGTTGGATATTTTTCTACTAAAGGTAAATAATTACTTATGTTACGTTACAAATTAATTGGTGATTGAAAAAAATCGCACATTGCAAAATTAAAAATATGAATATTATACTCGACCTGCCGTACCCTGCACAATTCTGCATAAATTTTAGATAATCATACATAAAAGTAGAATTAAATTAATAATAATGTGTGTATCTTAACATTTATTTATCATCATATTTTTATAAGATTGTACTAATGAGACATCAATAATTTTACTTGTTGGCGACCGACTCGACTACTTGCATTTGCTAATTGTATATAAAGCAGCATTAATAGATATTTTTTATGTATGTAAATGTATTATGCATTTTTTTAATTACTGCTAAAAAAATTAATAAGAGACAAAAAAAGTAAGTTTTAGTAGTAATAATAAGACAGCATATTTTCACATCTTTCATCAGTCCATGACATTTCTATTCAGTATTTTTTTCACTATTATTGATGAAACAGCATCATAACAATAATTAATAATTCTTCAAATTCTCAAGTCTTTCAAGGAAGTGATAAGTCGTTAATGTATGTAATGTAATCAATCAGAGGGGAAAAAAACCTGCTATTTTTCATTAGTACTATAAAACCCAGGGATGGATTAATTAATTATTATGAGGAAATAGTTAATTAATTAGGAGCAGAAATGTTTAATTAATAGGTACACATTTTTTTAGTTAGTAGATATCATCATAGTCTTGGTTCCTCATAGATCATAATAAATGTTAATATATTTTCAGCAAAAACTCAAAGAATTTGATTTTACTAAATTCATGCAGTAAGAAAATATACTTTAATAATAAAAAGAGAAAGAAAAAAACTAGATATTCGAATATAGATAATTTTTTATGGCAATTGGGTTTTCTTCAGAGTGGATAATATGTAATATTTTTTTCTTATAAAATATAAGTAAATGACAAGATTTTTTTTGAGATGGTCACCAACTACTGTGAATTCGTAATTAATTAACTAGGATAATAATAATAAAAATAGCACATTCATCATATTGAACCAACAACTCTCTATTTAGTTAATTGAAGAGGAGGAATATTTAATTTAGTGACACACAAAATGCCACAGTCTAATCAAGGTACATATTATTTCACACTTTGTGTAATCATAATTTTCTGTATGGCGAATTTTTTTCTCTGATAAAATATGTAGAAGACTGCAGCTTCGCATTTATGAAATTCATCATCACAAAGGACATAAGTTATCGTTTGAATTTGAAATCAGAGAAGAAGAAATTTAGTTCAAAAGACAAACAAGGTAATAATTAGTTAGTAATATGGAAGCGTATTTTTAAAGTATCCGACCAATTAAACTGTTAACGTCGTCCATTATAATTCGGACTTTTCAGAGTTTCAGACGCTTAAACGTTTAATGGTACGAGATACAGTCCAAATGTATTTATTTAACTATTCATAATTTGAGAAGAAAATTCCGCAAAGTGTATCAACTTTCGCTTTAATAGTGTAGACATACCCCTCTCAATTTTTTTTGACACATATACACATACCAAGAGCAAACAATGTTCCATGCATTCCTTTGAGTTAACATAGACCCCTTTTTGTCAATCTTCTTCTTAAGGTATTCATATGTTATCTTTTAAAACATTGATAAGTGATAAATATTAGAAGCAGTGGAATTTTTGCGATTTTATGGAAAAAGAAAATTTTGATAATTTGATCCGCCCAGCTAACAGAGACCTTTGACACGAAAGGTAGAGAAAGAGGGGAAATATTGAGAGAGTGAGAATTTCAAATTCATTTTTCTTAATTTTTTAGGCCTTTTTCTATAATTCTGGTGATGATGATGTACTAATAATTTCTTGTTTGGTGATAAGATAATACCCTCTTTTTTGGCAGTAAATTTATCTAGGTAATATAGTATTTAGGTTACTTTCTCTCCTTTTCTGTCGCCAGGTTAAGCTAATGGCGAATACTTTTGCGCCTCTCTACATAATATGCTTCTCGCTACAGCTCATTTTAGATGCTTGCTTCTAGAATAGAGTACAGAATGATTTTTTATGTGATATTATTCGACAGTCTGAGTCGAATGTGTGTATGTTAACTTAAATATTAAATATATAATAGGTTCTCCCACGGATCGAGCTTTTGACCACCCATTTCATGAGGTGGCGGTCAAAAGGGGGACTGAAGAAGAGGTTGAAGAAGGCTTGGCAATGTTCTGACTTGATGTTGTTGATTGAGAATGTCGTTGGGGTTGAGTCTTGTTATTATTCGCAGTGGATTTTGTGTTGGGACACAACTTGTTGTTGGTAGGATGTCTCTGGTGCGAGTAATTTTGTGTTGTCGTCAAAATGGCCGGAGATGACGTGGAAGCCGCCGCGGCTGGGGGAGAATAGTAGGTGGTGCCATTGGAGGAAGTGACAGACTCGACTGCGATTGCCGACGTTGATCCTGATGAGTTTTGTTGCGGCATGTAATACGTGGTTGTGGGATAGCACGGATACAGGTGACTTGGTTGAGAACCGTAAATCCCTTGACGTCCACTAAGAATAGAAAAGTATATAAATTGATGTATTTATATAACTGGGTTACTTATTGGAGAAATTAAGATGCGGATGCTCACTCGGTGTTGAAAAGCTCACAAGCTAATCTCTGAATAAGCTGCAGCGTCAGGCGACGTTCATGACCCATCAGACATACGGTTGAGCTGTCCACGACGTGATAAAGGGTTATCAGGAAAGCATATCGGAGTTTTGCAGAAACTCCAGACATGTGATTAGCAAGGTAGGTTCGCAATTTTGATTCTTGTTGTTCCACCTGCAAAATTACAAATTGTATTTATTCATTGTCCAGCAAGTAAGAAAATAATATGACTATTTTCCATCAAAAGAAAATTACCTCTGGGAAATCAATGAAAAACCTGGAGCACATGTACCGCTGAAGGGGAGGAATGGAATGAATATCCGCCTGCATCAACACAAAATAAATTAGTACCAATAAACCCACAATAATTAAAATCTCTAAGTAATTACCGGAAGATCTCTACTCACCGGTCTGTTTCCTCGCACCAGAAGGTTACAATATTTAAGGAGTCCTCCGCCCCGAATTTCCTCTGGTCTGTAAGCAATACAATCATTAGTTAAAATGGCATAACGGGTACATGCCTTTGGGCTAAAAATGCAGGAAAACTTACGAATTAGTAGCAATCAGACCATTTTGGAGATGGTAAAGCGCACCATAAAAATCTCCAAAGACAGACTCTCCCACAACAGTTGGGTAAAATCTGAACAAAAAATATAATAATTTTTAGCATTGAAGTACTGGTATCATAGATAAGGACAAGGTTTTCTTACCTGCTACACATAGGAACAGCGGAACACTTGTAAAACAACATCAAAGAATCAAGAACAATCTGAAAGCTGTCCACTGAAATTGAAAGAATAAGTTCGTGTAATGACAGAAATTTGGCTACTTTTTTCAACTCCTTTGTTCATTTATTTATGATATCTTACCTGAGAACTCGTACTGCAAATAGAAATAAAATGTTTGTATTTTTTACAATTCAGTTTTTTTCTCAATTATTGTGGTGACTTTTATATGTATAAAGTCCTTACCTGGCGACGCATTGTATCTACAAATTTCAACTCGACTGAGCAGCTTCGCCCTTTACTGCTTGAGTTCACTTGATTCACGGACCCATTTCCCAAAGCAATCAGGGACCAGCGGTCTCCTTCACAGACTTTCACCATCTTGGACACATACGCTTCCTTCAAAGCACAAGGAGACATTCGCTTTCGGCTCACCTAATACAAGAAAAATCTCATCAACAATCCGTATATTTCTGCTTGTAAGCATCTTTTTAAAGTTTATTTTTACTTACATTCTCCGGCAAGAGATCCAGAAGAGCCTGCAGTACTGCAGTCTTGACCCGATCAAAATGTTTGGCTGTCAATAACTCCATTCCAAAGATGAGATCAATGTCAGCAGCAACATGTGACCAAGGAAGTATTGAACTGTAAATGGTAGATTTATAGTTTTATTGATCTTATCTTAAAAATGATACTCTCCCAATTCAATAAATAACTTACCCCGAAAAGTTTTTGGTTTGTTCGGGACAAGAACACACCATTCCACAGTCTCCACTTCCGGAAGGTTGGTAAACCATTCCACACACGCAGCAGTAGTCCAAACGGTCCTTCAGTGCATAACTAGCAGCTCCGCCATTAAGTCGGATATCACGAATCTGTCAGAAAAACACATTCAATTGTCATCATTATTGTCAACTTCGTAAGATTTATAAGATTCCAGCGGAACAACAAACTCACCTTGATTCCTTCCTGGACCAAACGATCCTTCACAGCAGTCAGTAGGTCTTTCAACTTCAATTCCAACGCAGGGAAATTTCCTCGTCCTTCGAGAGCCACCATTTCATTCAAGATGCTACATCATAAAATGAAATATAACGTTAATATTTGTCTCTATAAGATAACTGATAGATAGTAAAATAGCTTATCAATGTATAACCTGTCGACGCGGGTGACTTGTTCATAGCTGAGGATTGCGAATCGGTCTCTGTCCGCTGCGACATGGGTTCCTGCTGATACTGCTTTCGCTGAGGCTGTCGATGACGTTCCTCCATCCTTGCAGGACGAAATGGGCGAAGCACGTCCAGAACTGCAGGCGTCATTGTCACTAAAATAATATGAATATTTATAAAGTTATTGTCAACCAGAGATAAGCTTTTCAGTGTTGTTTACTTGAAATGTTATTGTTTTATACCAACCTAAAAACTCCGCTGTCAGTAACACTCAGAGAATCAAAGTCATCTGTCCCCACTTCTGGAAAAATAGAAAAATATAAATTTCACGTGTCATCTTTCGCATAAAAAATAAAAAACAAGTCAATCAATACGAAAGCTGAGCGTTTAAAAAGCGTAAAAAAATATGAAATATGTCAACTAACTCCTCCCCCACCATGGCACCGCAGGACATAAGAAGCTCGGAAATGGGAACGGACTTCTCAGCCCAAGTCGTGCCGATGGAGATTCGAAATTAGGCTTCCTCCAAGTCCTCCTTCTCATCGTGGCGATGATGTCGTAAGGCCAGGGCGCAAAAGATGAAGCAGAACTGTTCGGACATTCGAGTTAAAATCTGGGGAAATATAAGCTCCTCTCCGACCAGGCAAGAATTTTGATAAGCACGAAGTGTATCAAACAAGTGTATTTCGTTGATTTAGTTAACTTTGTTTGACATTTCTCTTCTACTCGTTATCCCCCGTTTTTGATAAGCACGGCTGTTGTTGACGTGGTCTTTGGCGGGACACGTCGACAAGTGAAGTGTCGACGACTAGTTAATTAATTAATTAATGAAACTGAAGAATTTAGAAATGTTATGAGATTGATTGTTTTGCAATGATGAATGAATGGACCGCGTCGAATAAAATTTGGCCGGAATAATATACAAATTTTTTGACACGCCTGAATTAATTCTGACGCCATAGAAACCGTGTCAATTAATTCAAGGAAACTTAATTTTACACCCCGTCTGATGAACAGACGGGGTAAAATCCCCTACAAAAAATGCCAAAATAAAATTTTACTTCAAAATTAAATATCAGACCACCACCACCATTGCAAAAAAATGGTGATTGTTTGCTTGCGTAGTCTCCAATTTATAAAACCAAGTTGGTTTAACCAACTATAAAATTAACTTGTAATTATTTTGATGATTTATAATGAATTGAACGAGTGGAATCGTTTCAAATTGTGAATTGTGCTGGCTGCATAAACATAAACACTGCGAGAGTGGAGCATAAATGCGTCATTGCAAAATCAAAGTAATCAAGTCTCGTCAAGTCACACCATGATTTTTATTAACCTAACACGTCCCAAATGGGTCGGTCGGAACGCTTTAACGTGGCATATACGTTGTAAAAATCTCATAACTAAAAGACACAGAGGACAGCGATGTTTTAAAACAATAAATTATTCTGTACTTGAGAATCTCAAGTTGAGATTTGTCATGCGTCATTCGTACTTACATAGATAAATATCTGTTTCATCAAATTCATTAAAGTAGATGGATCCGGAGCGTTAATAAACAAGCTTTTATCTTATTTTGATTTTGACTTATTCATACTTACAAAAAATTACAAAAAGACTTTTATAAGACTTACTCAATATTTTGTTAAGTATTTTATGTATTTTTAAAATATTTGATGGATAGTTTAGTTTTTTAGCTCGGTGGTTTAATTCTGAGTGGTTTTTTTATACAGTAGGTAATTTCTGAATATGTTCTCCTCATCTATCTATGCAAATATCGATGATCGAGACTTAATCAGCCATGGTTGAACCAGTTATCGTCGTGAATCTGTTGCGGACACGGTTCATCGACCAAATAATTACTCCAGATTTCAAACCCAGTCTCAAAGCCAAAACCAAAGCCATTAACTATTATTTAGCTACTAACTCTCGTCTAAAAAAAATTACAGGTAGGTAATATTTAGTCAGCCATGCATAATCTCCTGGCCGAGAATACTTATCTAGTTAATAGTTATGGTCTGGAAACTACTCGTCATTTCGTTTGCATGTGCATGCATCGTTAAATGTGTGCTACCAGCTACCACGTATTCATTAACGGGGAATAATTCCAGTTATGATGACTTTTATGGTGGACAATGACGATGGTGACGATGATGACGACGTCGGCCATTGTATCTGCGTGGGTGTGTATGTATCAGATTGAATCAAATCAAGCCAAAGGATATAGAGGGGGATAAGTTGGACAAACAAGAAACTAGGTCACACACACCCGTCCGTAGTCAGTAATTGATCAAAAAAGCTGGTGGTGCTAAGCACATTATGTGTCTAGATATCTTCTCTAGACGACAAGGTAAGTAAGCTAAGGTACGGCTGCCGATGAGATGAGATGAAATGATGATACGCTGCTGCATGATGGTGACATCGAATCGATCAATTACTCTGCCTGCACAAACTTCTTCTTCTCTGCGCCACGTTCGTTAACAACGCTTCATCTTCTTCATCGAATCGCATCAACTGAGATAAATACGTGACTTGGGCCATGTCGGCGGAGGCAGAAGCGCAGAAACATGTAATAGCCTCCATTAACACGGCTACACTTTTTAGAGTGAAATAGTAGCAAACCACGACCACGACCACTGCCAAATGGCAATTATCATTACGACGACGACGACGAGAGGATATCGTAAGTTTTTGTGGTTTTATGCGCCTCTTATTCTTCTTCGACACTATTTGCTCGTGTCGTATGATCATTGAGACGTCTGGTGTTAGAAAACACATTCATCAACTCTCCATAGGTATAAATTTTATTCGTTTGTGTGTAAATAAAATATGGGGGATGATATGGACATGGAAATATGAATGAATTACTTGCACATGGATGAACTGAATTGAAGAAAGGATGTATGTATGTAAAGTAAACTAAGAAAGTTATGATGGGAAGAAATGGTTTGGTCGTTGTCGTCGGCAGTGGCCGCGGAAAGACAGAGGGACAATGGGTGATATGAATAAAACCAGGGAAATCCTTTTTCCGAAAAAATTGAGGAGAATGCCCCAATATAGATGAATAAAAATTTGGGCATTTGCTTTTCCCCGAGGGAAAGGAAAAAGGGAATAGCTTTTCCCTCAACCTCAAGATTTTCCCTGGAGACGGGGATTTTCGTATGAATAAAACCAAGGTGAAAGCCTTTCCTTCAGGCAATCTCCCCAAAAAATACCGATCAGCTACTATGCTGACCCCAACTAACAAAATTAGCAATAAAACTTAGTTTTTAAGCATCTGTTGTACTTTTTATGAATGTTGGACACTAGTTGGACATGTTAGGGCTTTGAAACTCACAAAACCAGATTTATCGACAAAAATATAGATTTTTATTTGCTATCGACATCGAAAAAATGTATTTTATATTTTCATTGAAGACCTGAAAATATTTTCTGAAATATTTTTAAATTCAGATTTCGGCCAACTGGTCATGCTACCGGTATCGCGCAAGTTGCATATAAATGTTGAAAATTTTCCAAGATTCTAATTAAATTCTGCTTTCGCTCATTTATTCGCCGTTTAAGGGTCCATTGCATGTGGGTTTTGAGTTTGAATTTTTGTGTCTCAACTTTCCATTCCTCCATATAAATGGCGATTTTGAAACCCATTCATCGTCGTGCATATTTTACAAAAAGGGAGGTTTCAAAATTCGAAAATTTTTAGCTTTATACAAAGTTAGGAGGTTAGAATTTTAGTATTTTTCCTGGTTAGGAAATTTTTGAAAATCTATAAAAAATTCAAAAATGAGTTTGATCTTGAATATTATAAAATAACTGTATGGGACAATAATCGTAAAAGAGTTTTTAAATTCCGAGAACAATTTGATTTTTGGCGAGCATTTGAAGGTGGTTTTTTCCAGGTTAGTCTGAGTGAGTTTGGAGGGTGTTCAAAAAATCAAAAATAGATTAAATTAAATACACTTATATACAACAAAACAACGCTGAAATTTCCTTGATTTTTGCAATTCTGAGATGCGCCGATACCGAATTTTAGCCTTTTTAGCGAACATCACAAACCAGTGGGGGTCATTGGGGGACATTTCTTTAAGAATTTGATCAAAATCATGGTCAGAGAAATTTTTGAAATGCATTTGTGTTCGTTGCGATGGTATTATTTTAATTACATGTAATTGAAGTCAGGGGATTTGCCCGAAACCAAGGGGATTTGCCTGGCGAGAAAGGTAAAAGTTTATTCATACGAAAAGGAGCAATAGCCTTGACCTGTGAGACTTTCCCTCAGGCAAATGCCTTTCCCTTTTCCCGTTTCCTTGGAGGATTTCCCTGGTTTTATTCATACCAGTAAATGTCCCCACGGTTGTTCGATGTCCGTATCCTCTCCCCATCTTATAAAAACCCGTCCCTCCCCTTTCCTACAATGTTAATGTCCCCACGGCTTCCGCGGCCACTGCTCGTTCGTCGGTGAGAATCCACTATCTTTTTAATGCATGATGTAAGATTTGAAAGAGAGAGTGAAAGAGGACGCGGAGGGAGAAAGTGGGTGAAAGCAGTCGTCAAAGAGGGACCACGTAAGCTTCTTAAGTTATAAAATGGGTGATGCTGATGCCGGTGCATGGATACTTCTTTCTTGGAAAATCTTCTTATCCACGTTTGCCTTGCCCGGCTTGCAATAAAATGTCATATTTTACTTCTCTCTTTCCCTACATAAATTCAAAGATTAACCCAATTTTCTAGAATTAATGGCTTCGGTGAATTCCTATCGTATGGAGATTGAAATGTGAAGAAGAAGCTTTATCTACTTTTCGGCTTATCGAGATTTTTTTTAGAGATGCGATTCCCCGAAAGGAATAAATAGTAAAGGAGAAGAGGGTTCGATTTCGGTTCGAAATCGGATTGTCAACCTTGTAAGATATAAAAGTTTTCGTCTCTCTATGATATTTATTAACTTTCTGAGCAGAGGGTTTCCATCATGGTTTCCATTCCTCGAGCAGTATTTTGACAATACACCCACGCATTCCATTCCTCGACGGTCGGTAGGTCGGTATATATAGTAAAAACCAATAAATAATTCAGAATTTGTGCTCTCAAAGACCTTTCCTTCTAGAAGGAGAAAGTGGTGGCGTCGGCAAACACGAGAAAAGGACCACACCACGACCAGGACGACCAACTTTTCAAATTATTCTCTGTGCCGATGCATTCCAGCTTTTTGTAGATTCTCTCCTCATCTTTCTTTCGCCATAACGCGTCATTTTTTCCCGTAATCCAGCAGCCAGCCAGCCAGTGGCCGCGGACAGGGGGACA